CCCGCGGAGCCGGCGCCAGCGGGTTGCTGAGGTGGCTGTCGCCCGCTCGGAGCTGCGGCTTCCCCGGGTCGAGCCCCCGATGGAGGCCGTGGCCGCGGACAGCCCCCCAGGCAGGGTCGAGGGGGCGCTCAGCTGTTTCTCTTTCAACCAGGACTGCACGTAAGCCGAGGCTCCAGCCGTGCCGGGGGGTGGGGGGGTGAAGTCGCGATATGGGGTGTTGTCCAGTCGGCAACTTGTAGCAAGAGGCGCGGGCCTGCGCGCCAAGAGGTCCTCGACGGGACGGCCAGTGCTGCCCCAGACTGGTGCGGGTCCTGGTAGCCACCCTCTGCTCTTTCCCCTTCCTCCAGCAGAGGGGTTGAGCGCCCCCATCCCCCGCTGCCGGCCGAGAGCCGGCAGGGGCCCGCAGACGGCGAAGGGAGGGTATCAGCCAGGGGAGCGGGGCTGAAGAAGCCTGAGGAATATGGGGGAGAGGGGGGAGGGTAGTGACCGAAGTGGGGGTCTGGGGAGGGAGGAGCTGTGGCCAAAACAAAGGAGATGAGAGGGAGGGGGAAGTTGCAAGTTGACCCAAGGCGAGGTAGTTGGGGCCCAGGAAGATGGGAGTACCGGAAAAACTTTACCATTTGTCCTTGAGCATCTCAACGTGGCATCTGGGCAGGGCCAATGACAAAGAGGCAGCCTATCCCTACGGCCAGGCCAGCCCAGTCCCAGCCCAAGAGCAGGGCACTTCGCCTGCCAGCTCTGCCTGTCAGAAACCTTTGCATTGCTCTCCCTGTTTTCACATAGCCCACTCAGAGAGGCAGAACCTCCTTCTCCGAGTTCAGGAGCCCTTTCCCAGGCCCAGGCTGCCTTCTCCAAGAAGAGTGCACTCCACCCCCTTGCTTTTTGAGTGGATTTTTAATGTTTCACCGTGATGTTCACATTCGGACTTTGGCCAGAGAGACAGGAGCTGCTGCACTGTTTCAGACATCTAGAAAATTCAGTCCCTTAGAAGCAAACGTCTGTTTTCTTACCTCTTCTCATGGAATTGTTAGATGCCAGCTCAGGGACCATATGGAATCATCTCTTTTGAATGTGTGCCCAGAGCATCAGGCAGCAGTGACCGCTTCCCAGTTTCCTGATATACCAGTTTCTGTTGTGTTCCTTCTTTGAAGTCGGCTTCAGATTTGTGTGTTGGCTGCCTACGACTGGGCTGTGCTAATATTGAACTTCAGTTGTGTCATTAAGGCCATCGTGTACCATAACCAACTCTCTGCCTTCCATTCCCTTTGTGTTTCTGTTTGAAAACACTGAATGCCAAACAATATGCCTTTGTTAGGAAAATCTGTATGTGTGATCGTGTAATTGGGTAGCTGGACAACTTGGTTAGATGAGTGACTTTCAAGCTTTTCTTGACCGCAGCCCACAATAAGAAATACATATTTACAACATTACCCTATATATTTATATATATGAAATATTATATATGTGTATATATATATAATATCACTGAAAAGCAATTCACAGCATGGTGTTTACCCTTAATATGTGCAATACCCTCTGGTATTTTGTTTCTTTTTTTTTAAGCCATCTGTGACTCAGTGAATTGTTTTTAGGATCCACTCATGGGTTGAGACCCACAGTTTACAAAAATGATAGTCTAGATAAAATTCTGATGTTTTGTAAGAAACATTTTGCAAGAGAGGATGGCTTTTGAAACGCTTGGGTGTTTTCCTTCCCAATTGAATGCAGATTAAGGAAGGGAGCTAGTTTGCTTATTTGTAGTAAATGTGAAATTTTGCCTTGTAGCACTGTTTATTAGATTTTTTAAAGGGATGTTAATTTTTACTCTAGGTGAATCCCGGCTTTCTATAGCCATTGGATAAGAATGTTATTTTCAAAACTGTAGGGTGCTTGGGAATTAATTTCCTTAGTCCCTACTGTCAGTTCTGTTTTCTTGGATGCAGGCTGTGCTGGACAGCTCTGTCTCACCTATAAATAAAAGTTTTTGTCACAGTCAGTTGCTCTGAGCCTCAGAGGGTATGACACTGGATTTTAAAATAAGTCACGCCCCTTACTGAATACATTTAGGAGTGTCAAGGTGTCTTTTTCTGTAAGACTAGACTCAATTTGGGACCCAGTGTTTCTGGAGAAGGTGGATGAAGACAACTAACCTTTACCAGTCTCCTCTATTCATACTTCTTGCTAGGTCCTATGCTAGACAATTTAGGTTTATTTTGTCATTTGACTCATGATATGTATTTGTCCCAAACCCCATATTCATGAGAGGTGATGAGAATTTTTTTTTCCTTATGGTTGAAATAAGGCTTTAGTCTGAATTCCCTGATTCAGAGTTTTTGTGGCCATTGATCAACCATTTAAAACACAATATTGCTCCCACTGCCATTTCTCATATTTAACATTCTTCTGTTCCCAGAGCAGGGAATGTTTAAAAGGCCACATTTTTTGGTTAAGTATAAAACTCTAGTTCCAACGTATTTTTCCTTTACTGCAAGCTTTAGAAACCTCAGTTTGCAACTCAACGCACATATATTTATGTGAAACAAGTTTACACGAAGAAAGTTTAAAAACAGTGATCGTTATGGAGTATGTATATTTTGAAGTTTGAAGATGCTGCGGGCCTGTCTTTCCAGTTGCTGTTTGCCGTCATTAATGCTGTAGTTCTGGAAGCCGAGCCCCAGTTCTGTGTGTCCTGCTGCTCTTCTGCAAAGATCCAACACACCAGGGTAGCCACACAGCAGGTCGGAGGGCTCAGGAGCAGAAGCAGCCACCTTGCTGATTAAAAGTCGACAGTAGTCACCTCTCCCAGTGTCCCAGGGAAGAGCCAATGTTTGGGTGGGGGAAAAAAAAATTCCAGGGAAAATCATGTGACCTTCTCTTTTTTAGGCTAGTGAAACAAGAGCCTTGGCCACCTAGGCTTGTAGCTGTAAGCTGCTTATTTTAGTACATGCCTTCCTGGGAAGAACGAAGCTCACCTTTTCATATATTTTAAATGAGGAAATAGGACCAATTTTTAGGTCCACTTACGACCATTTTAGGGTCCGTTGCAGCTCAGACATCCCATTTCTCAGGGTAGAAATGCTCAGAGTCTGACTCATTCTGAGGGCGCCCCGTGGAAGGTTTTGTGTATCACGCGGGTGTGGAGGGCAAAGGGGGAGTGAGCGGGATGACAGTTCCCAGCTGCCGAACAAAACTGACACGTTTGCTTTCATCCTGGGGGCGGGGAGACCTGGGTTCTCACTCTGTCTTTATCTATTGGTTGAAAAGTGAAAAATTAAGAAAACAGGAATTTGTTTTACGCCCCCCCCCCCGCCCTTTGTCCCAGATAAGCGTTTAGTTTAGTTTTGTTTGGTTGGTTGGTTGCAATGAACCTTTAAGTTCTCAACGCTGGCTTCACATTAAAGGACTTGAACTAAGAAAAAAACAAATCCAATTAAATTGCTCAGCACTGGGGGGAGGGAGCAGGGGTAAACAGTCATCAGGAATTTTTTTAAAACTTCCCAGGTGAGTTCCATGTACATCCAGGGATGAGAACCACTGGTATAAAGTATTTGGGATGCTTTTGTGGGAAAGTGATGCAAAAGAGCATCTGTTAAATTCTGCTACGGGTGACCTGTTGTGCCTCCTCCAATTATGTATCCCCTTTTTAAGCAAAAAAAAAAAGAATAAAGAATTTATTTCTTGGTAGCACTGTGATGGATATTCTTAAACATTCCATTTTTCCCGTTTCTGCCCGGTGAGGAAAGCACGGTGGGTTTGACGTTTCTTTTGACAATAGACAAAGCCCACGTGGTTTCAGGTCTCTTCACCACTTCACATCTTTGTGAGTGGTTGTCTTCGACTTTTTCTTTCTGGCCGTACCTGCCCACCTGACAAGGCACGTATGCGTCACCGTTTAGAAAGTTATCAAATATCCCAGCTCCTGAGGTGGTATGTTTGTTTATCTGTCCCCTGAGAGGCTAGAGCGAAGGGGGTTGTCAGTGTTCAGGCAGATCGACGGGTGGAACACAGTACCTCTTGCCACCCCCATGCTGTCATTGTCTTCACAGATCCCTCGCAATTGGAACCAAAGCTGGTTACAAGCTGTTTTCCTTGAGTTCTGTGGAGCAGCTGGACCAAGTCCACGGAAGCAGTAAGTACATGTGTGTGTGTGGGGGAGGAATCTCAGGGTCCCCCGTCTGGACTTTAATCCGTGATGCTCCGGGACTTTGTTTCCCTCCCGTAACCCTCCAACGGACAGAGCCAGTATTTTTCAGATTTAAATATAAATCATTGTCTCCACGTGCTTCCAAAACACCACAATGAGGCACTGGTAAGATCTGGCACTAGCTTAGGTAACATTTTCTTTTTACGTTAAGAAATCCTTTGTTTGAAACCATGTTGACACTTTTTCCTATACTTAGATGAGCTGTCTTCAGTTCTTAAAATTCTCTAACGAATAGGTCATTTATGATTTTTTTTTCCACCATTTTATTGGCTCTGTAGAATACTGGAACATTCATTCAGTCATGAAGCATTTTCTTTGTTTTAATAAAGCAACACTATCCTAACTTATATAGTCTGTATCAGAGATATTGCAGTACTTCTAGAGAATATTTTTTTTTAAGTTCATCTTAGAAATGTGACTCTCTTACTGTCTCAGGTTAAGTAATAATTTAACCTTCATAATAGTGAAGAATACACAATCTTTGGATTTCCTGGAAAGAAAGTGGCAAGTAATATATGGGGCTCCTAATTGATTTGTAAGATGTTATTTTTATTATAACATTTTTGTGAAGATTTTACTCTGTGTCCGTCCTGTGTTGTTCCCTATGGGACCAGAGCCCAAGAAAGGCAGGGCTAAGAAAAGAATGTTCTCGAAAAGACACCGAGGCCTCCACCAATGGGCAATCAAAAGGCTTGCTAATTTACCTTCTTCCTGAGTACAGAAGCAATTCTCTGGTCATAGCACAGGTGTCCAGGTTGTTTTCAACAGGAAAGGGATTCCAGAGAGAGTCAGGGAGCACAGAGAGATGGTTCCTGCTCCCCCATCCTGGCAGCACCTGTCCCTGTTAACAACAGGGACCCCAATTCCAAAGCAGAGGCTCCCAACAGAGTGGTCACTCCTTTACAAACCTTCTCATGGAGAAGGAATAGATTGAGATTGTCCAGACCTCCCAGGTATGTTTCACAGAGTGAACAGTGGCGCCCTGGGGCCCTGGGGGTGGGGTGATTCCACCACGCTGACAGCATCAGGAGAAGCTCTGGAAATCCTGGCTTTGTGTTCTGGTCACGAGCGTTTTCTTTAGATCATTGAAAGAGCTTTGAAACTTGGGAAACAGTCAAAGCTTCACTGCCGGGAAGCGAGGAGGGCAGAAATCATTGCAAACATGTGCTAACAGAGGACACCCAGTCAGCAGGACCCAGAGAAGGCCGGCTGACTGGCGTGAGGGAGCGCAGGGCAGGGACTGATGTCTGTGCAACTTCGAGCTGCCTTCCCTCCCAGATGAGATCCCGGACGTGTACATCGTGGAGCGCCTCTTCTCCAGCAGCCTGGTAGTGGTGGTGAGTCACACAAAGCCGCGCCAGATGAATGTCTACCACTTCAAGAAAGGCACGGAGATCTGTAATTACAGCTACTCCAGCAACATCTTGTCCATCAGGTTGAACCGGCAGGTAAGTGCAGGGAATCCATCTGGGTTGCAACTGAAGAGAAAGGTGAGCATCCTTTGTGATGAACGTCTCTACCACAAGCATCAGGTTCTAGAGGGGGTTTTAATACTCAAGCTGAGTGTTATGGGGACACCGTTAAGAGAGTTTCCTCCATGCAATGGTTTCAGTGGTGTGACCTTCCCTGGTCCTTTGCCTGGTGTGCTTTCTTGATGTTGGCCACCGGCTAGGCGGACCCTCTCCAGCTGGGTGCTGGCTGGGGGGACTCTGGCTCTGAAACTGTCCGGTGAACTCCTGCAGGGGCACCTTTGAACGCCTCTCTGGTTTGGGCCCTACACAGTGGCATTCATTGCAGGCTGGCCATAATGCCTCTCAGAATAAAGTCCTAAAGAGCAAGTGTGGTCCTCCTGGGTTGGTCCTGAAGCCAGTCAGTAAGACCACCCCTGCTCGTGCTGTTACTAAGGCCTTCCCAGAGGGCCATGTGTTCAGTCTCATGCTTCTAATCCTTAAAGATGTTTCTTGCAGTGTTTTCTTTGTTGGAAGAAGGATTATTCTTATCTGAAATATGCAATATATATTCTTTCTAAAAAATAAGTTCTCAGATTCCTTAAAAAACTAAAAATAGAGTTACCATATGATCCAGCAATCCCATTCCTAGGCATATACCTGGAGAAAACTCTAATTTGAAAAGATACATGCACCCAAGTTTTCATAGCAGCACTGTTTACAATAGCCAAGACATGGTAGCAACCTAAATGTCCATCGACAGATGATTGGATAAAGAAGATGTGGTATATATACACAATGGAATATTACTCAGCCATAAAAAAGAATGAAATAATGCCATTTGCAGCAACATGGATGAACTTAGAGATTAGCATACTAAGTGAAGTCAGTCCAGTAAGACAAATATCATATGATATCACTTATATGTGAAATCTAAAAAAATGATACACATGAACTTACTTATAAAACAGAAAGAGACTCACAGACAGAAAACAAACATATAGTTACCAAAGGGGCGAGGTCGGAGGGGAGGGATAAACTAGGAGTTTGGGATTAGCAGATACACACTACTGCATATAAAACAGATAAACAGTAAGGTCCTACTGTATAGCACAGGGGACTACAGTCAATATCTTGTAATAATTTACAATGAAAAAGAATATATATATGTGTAACTGAATCTCTCTGCTATACACCAGAAACTAATACAATGCTTTAAATCAACTGTACTTCAATAAAAATTAATTAATTAAGTTCTCATTAAATAAGTTTTGGGGATATTAGCAATTTCCCTTGAATTATTCAGTTTTAAATCCTCTGAGGGCAGCAACTGTATCCATTTTGCTCCCTGCTGTAAGACCTGGGAGAAAAGACAGTGCTGGAAGACAAGTGCCTGGTGACTATCTGTTTCCTGGCTGCCTATTAAATAAACAGACAAACCCATTCTTTGTATGACTGGGCGTACCTGTGTATTCATTAAATACTCCCAGGATGCGGAAGACCATTGCCTTCACTTCTGTCCTTGTACCCAAGCTATTAAGTGCTTAATTAATTTTTTTTTAAACAAACGAGACAAAGCGCCATCTGAATTAAGTTTATGAGAAGGGAGAGATGGTTTCTTTGGGTCGATCAGCTATTTTGACTGAATATCCACTGAAGTCTGTAGAAAGCAGCGTGGTAGAACACAGGCTGAGAAATAGAATATGGGAGGTTTTAAGCAAGGAGTAGCAGGGAGATAAGATAAACCGGGTTCTTGGCGGGAGTCGGTAAGGCAGTTTGAGAGTTTTCAGCTTGAAGACTTTTAAGCACAACTCTTGGCTCAAGTGCTCTTGCCGAAATCTGTTGGTTGCACGTTAAATTTCGTTGCAGAACGTTTTTATCTTTGCATGTGGTAACAGCCAGGACATGAAAATTAAGCTTGTTTAGACAAATGTCCCATAAAGATCAGAACCCTCAAATGGTATCGATGGTATTTGTTTGTGTAATGTCTCTCTTACTTGCTCTCTGATATTTTCATCAGCAAATGGGACAAAGAAGGACTATTCAAGCATCTAAGCCTGTCAATCTTTCAATGTCACCCCCTCCTCAATAAAACACTATTAACCGCAATGGTCCCCTCTCCCATCTTTTAAAGAGCATTGATGCACCTGGAACTTCTCCATTGTTCATGGCCAAGCTAGCTGGACCCCAGACCGAGCAGGGCTCTCTTCCCTTACTGTTCCTTCTCCTAAGAAAATGATTTGAAACAGGTCTAGAGAGTCTTCAGGGTTTGCTTTCCCTAACAACGTTCAGGTTTGCAGCTCTACTTTTGGTTTACGGGGCGCCGCAGCCCCTCCCTGCCAGGCCGGGGTCCTGCCGCCTGCCCCCCCCCACCAGGATGTGAAAAGTGGGGCAAGAGCAGCATGTCCTATCCATATCATCGGGTCTTCAGACAGTGCAGTTCCTTTTTAAAAAAACAAAACAAAACAAAACAAACAGGAGAAAAAAGTGAAAGATTTGTGTAGGGAGTTACCAAAGAAAGAAAATCCCTATTTTCCTCTCAATCTATAGAAAGGAGAAATATTTAGTAATTGTGGTCTTGTTCACTTTTAATTGCTGTTATTCCCCTTGCACTAATGGAGGAAATGTATCCTGTGGACTAAAGGCGATGGACCAGATGTGTTTTGAGACATAAATGTCCACAGTTCTTTGACCATCTGTTCTGAGGGGCCCTCGTTATCCAGATGGAGATTGATGGGACGGGAAGCCTCTGAGGGCAGATAGAAATATTTTCCTAATGGATGAAAGGAGTTTTTAGCTCTAGAACCTAGAGAAGTAGATGAGAGCCAAGGTGGCAAGGAGTGAGCAGAGCCTGGGGTTCTGCTGAGACTGGAGACTGATGGCTTAAAGAAGCAGTGACCAGGGTCGCGCTCATCCCAGGAACAGGCTGTCGCGTGCAGTCAAGACGAAGTGCCTCCTCTTCCCCTCTCACTGTTTTCTGTCTGTTTCCCTCCATTTTCATTCTTTCTTGTCTGCAGCCAGCAGGGGGTTGACCCGAAATCAGGCCGAGTAGCCAAGAGCAGGTGGCGTGTTTTAGAGCTGGCGGGAGAAGATGCAGACGGGGTCAGACCAGCTAGCTTGTGGAAGCTGTTCCCGCCCCAGACACATGCTGAAGACCCAATATGCTGGGGATCGCGTGTGCAGCTGGGCGTGGGGGTACGGGAGCGTACCAGAAACCTACAGACATCAGCAAGCACAGAACCCTCTAGTCCAAACCGTAACAAGTTCTGGCGAAAAGGCACAGTGACGGGGGTATACCAGGGGGTGTGTATTCCATGGAGAAACACTAACATACGCCATCAATTTGGAGACCCTGTTAGAATCATTTTCACCCCTCAGCACCCACAGCTTTGGCCCCGGAGCCTTAAGTCACATGGGAAAAGTTGTTTAAGTGTTGTTTTTTGGCGTGAAAGTGACAGTCTCCAGAAAAATCCTGAGAGTCTTCCTGGGGAGCCTTCAGAGCAGGCTTTTCCCAGGAAGAGAGAAAGTGCTTCCTGGTAGCCTTGTCCGGTCCCTCCTTTCCAAGAGGTGTCCCTCGGGATGAAAAAGTCT